AGAAGCCTAAGGGGTAAACTTTAGAAGCCAAACTTCACAACAGCCACTTCATTACAGAAGGAACCCCAGAGAAGTGCTCAAAACTAACATCTCTGTGGCAATGCAAGGATGGCCCACATGAAGAGGATGAGATTTCAATGTGCCAACCATAAGGATTCCCAACAGAAGATTACAGGAGATACTGGATTTGGGACATTTTCACTGATCCTTCCCAGTAAGCCTGTACAGCAAAGGTGTCCAACCTTCCTGATACCCTTAACAAAAAATGCATGTAGTCCGGGGAGATGATGAGGAGGAGGATGTTCTGGGAGCAGTTTCCAGGCAGAAGACAATGGCTCTGCTGGTGTCCCAGCCATCTGCTGCTGCACGGGGCTGAACCAGGCATGCAGCTGGATCCTGGGTCAGCCAAAGCCTGTTGGCTTCAGCAGCCCCTTTAGAGCTGCTTTCCCTTAGTGCTGGGGATTCAGGTTATCTCCCACCCCAACATCAAAGCCTGTCTACCAAATATGTGTCACTGCCTTGGCACAGGTCCTGTGTTTAACAGACCATAGTTTTACCATCGTTTGCATTTCCTGTTTTTTTTCTGCAACCATAAGGGTTAGAAAGCATTTTTTAAGAATGAAAACTGAGAATTGCAAGTCAGCACGCCTCTAGTTGCTTTCATGCAATATCTTAGTAACTACAGTACTCATAAGTATCAAAAAAATATAAGAAAGTAATGACACTTTGTAATAAAATAAGGAGCCCTCTGAAGATAAGAAAGGATGAGGACTTGGTGTTTTTTGTTCATGAGCAATGGAATGTCAAAGAGCAAAGCAAGCCTGGTAAGGACTGCTGGTTATATTTAAAAGCACATGCAGACACGCACACGCACAAAAGATCACTATGGAAAAAGTGCTGCTTAACTGTGCATGAATGAGCCCAGCAGCTCAGGCACTTTGCTAAGCTCCAGCAGGAAGAGGGAAGTACCACAAGGGACATTCCTAGGTGCCCACCCACAGTAAACAGTAGGGCTAATGCCTGAACAGATGGGCTAGGGCAGGTGGCAAAGGGCTATCCTGGCTCCCTGCATACCCATACCCATGCACGCAGGTGGAGGTGAGTGTGCGCTTGGCTCCGGGAGCCACCACGAGCAGAAGGGCAGTAGCACCAAGCTTGCACAGGAAACATTCCCCTTGCGTCCCAAAGCAAACAGCAATAAAACAAACTGCTAATGAGGATGCAACCTGACCCTCTGCAGAATACATGCCCAAGGACTGGCTCTGTAAGGGCCAGGGAAGGAAGAACTCTGCTGGCAGAAACTTCAAGCTCAAGGGGATGTTTTTTTAAAACAGCAACTGAAAAATTGATTGGGTATTTTGCTGGTAATAAAAGTTACTCACAAAGTAACACAGAGCAAACACTTCTTTGAAGGAAAGAGAAGTCTGTTAAACAGAGAACCCTACCCTGCGGAAAGAATTCATTTTTAACACTAAGGTTAACATTTCATTTTTTATAAGAAATCCCAATGAATATTCCCTTAAGACTCTTCAAATCCAGACAAGACACTTCTCTTTTCCGTTCTGCCTGTTGACCTACTCTGCTGATCCTTCTTTCCAGGAAAGAAACAAACTTTCACTCCTGTTTTTTGCTTTTCTTTATTAGGCTGTTTATCACAGTTACACAAACCATCCTCAGACCTGTCAGAGCCTGTGCCAGCACAACATCTAGATTTTAGTAGCTTACAATAGGAGACCAGCAGCTCCAGAAAACTAAAGAACCCATGAGGGAACCAGACATAACAACATTCACAACCTTTCTCTCTTATTTTAAAAGGCAAGAAAACAACATATAATACAGAAGCCTCTTCTAAAGAAGGTAAAGGAACACATTTAACATAGTGAAAGGCAAACTGTCATTCTAACGCTTTCCTGGGTTTTGGGAGTCAAAGTAACAGTAACACTTAGCAAGGAAGATATGATGGCACAATGTAGTTGGTTTGGGGGAATATATCATTGAAAGCTTCTTTCAGTTAGGAGCATAAACCTGGATTGTGCTCTGCAAAGAAACTATGATAGCCATGAGTAATCCAGGATGTAAGAAGTTTGGGAATTAATTATCTAGGCACAGCATCATAGAAATGTAAATGATAATTTCTGTAGTAGTACTAATCAAAAATAAAAGATTTTGCAAGCAGTTAAACACAGGCTTTAATGTTAGTATCACAACCATCTTACTGAATAAAACAGACATGAACACAGTCCTTGAACACTTTGGAATTATGAATGTCGATTTTCAAAAGTTTTTAGAGGAACACCACCACTAGTACTTTTGCTTTAAAAAGGAGCAGGCACACAGGGATGTCAAATAACACACAACAGAGTAGTTCAGAGATCTGCAAGCTGATTGTTATCTGAAGTTATAAATCCATATGGGGCAGCGATCTGTGTGAGCAAAAAATCCTGGTCTCTCAACGTCCTCTGGAATCAAGTTACTCCAGCAAAGTGGCATGTGGGCATGTGCCATGGTGGGAATTTATGTGTGAACAGGGCTCTCCCGACCCCTAAGCTGAGCTGCTTAGTAGTGTCTCTGCATTGTATCCTCTCATACTTCTCGCTGTGAAGCCAGTGCATTTGGGCCAGGTCAGTGTCGCTGCACTGGTCAGTGCAGAGAAGACACAAAAGTAGTGCAAAGGAACAGGAAAGAAGAAGTGCATCTCATCCATGCAAATATAAATTGTTCCCCTTATTGGCCTTTGGAATTGGGAATTTCCTTCTCAGGATTGTTCCTGGGCTGACAAAGGCAAAGCCACTTGCTGCATGGGGTATCTAGGCCTTAAAGAAGAATAGTAATGAAAATCAGGTCCAGCTACTCAATCCTAGTCCCACTACACAGGGCATTATCTTTCCTATTTATTTTCTTGCTCAGATTTCAACTGTAAAAAGATAACACTAAGGCAGCTCCTCAGTCTGTTAAACCCTTAGTTCAGCAAGCAGACTTACAAAGAACATTTTCCAATAGAGAAGTCTACCACTTTCATCTGCAAGTGTAACGCTAGAGCACCCTGAAATGTGTTTCCCTGTGACATTGAACTCAACTGTTCCACGTACATTAGCGAGATCAGGTCTGTGACACATCACAACCCCAAAGCTTCCCAACTAATACTAAGAATGGAATAAGCAATCCATCACATGCTATGACATGTTCCCCAAAACACACACACACTCAAAACCTTAAAGTGGTGTCAGAATGTTTATTGAAAATGGCAATCTAACTGGCTGAATCAACGTGGGTAGCTGGTAACTTTTAACATAAGCAAACAGAGATACTGTAAACTTGCTGTGCATGGAAACTGTGTTTATACTTGAACTGGACTTGGAAGACTGAAATAATTTAATAGAAAAATATAGCTTAAGTTCCCAGGAGCTCTGAATGACCTCAAGATCATTCTGAAAGAAACCCAGAATAGAGGGACATAGCCAATGATGCAAATAGAGTTACACAAATATTTTCAAAGTCAGCTAGTAAAATACATTGTAGCCTTTTTGTTACAACAGCTTTGCAAATATACTTTAAAAAACACGCTATTCAGTCCTACCAAACACCTGTCACTTGCATTATCAGAACTGATTGTAAGCATTTTGCAATGTAAATGCTGTCTTATTTACTTCTTAGTGAGTTTTTTAATTGCTGGAGCTGGCTTTTTTTAGCTATACTGCTAAGATGCTTCCTACCACATAACATATGTGGTACTTTCTTTGTGATGCAAGAGAAATAGATTGAAAGAGAAAAAAAGAAACACAAGAAATTTCAAATTATTCTGTGTGGTCAACATATTGACAAAATAATTTGACTTATACAGAAACTAAAATAGCTGCGCACTGAAACATCTGCGTGGCAAGTGAACACAATTCAGACACCACAAATTGCGAGCTCTGTTGCTAATGAATCTAGAAAATCATTATCAGGAGTATTAAAAAACCAAAGGGAATTTAACCTAATGTTACATAACGATGAACAAACTCCCATGAAAATCAGGAAATCCCTAAATCTAATAGAGTTTTTTTTTTTTTTTTTTAAGGGGTGGGGGGAGGGTAATTATTTTGTAACTTTGTTGCTGAAAACAGCCAGGGGAGTCTAATAAAACTGCATTTACTCTTCTGTCGTGGACTGGGTATGTAGCCACGACTGAAGCCGACCCTGAGAGGTAAAGTTTGAAAAGCAGCAAATCATAGAACCATTATTATGAAGACTTCCATTACTTTCACATAGAATACCACAGTATAAAATAAGGACACACTGCTGGCTACCAACAAGTCTTTATTTGTACCTGCATTTTCCACACCATTCATAAAACTCCCATTTTGACATGAAAACACAATGCAGGCAGAAATGAGATTGCGCTTTTCATAGAATGACAGAATAGTGTGGGCTGGAAGGGACCTTAAAGATGCTAGTTCCAACCACCCTGCCACAGACAGGCACATCTTCAACGCAATCAGGTGGTCAAATCCCTGTCCAATTTGTCCTTGAACACTTCCAGGGATAGGGTATCCACAACTTTCCGAAGCAATCTGCTCCAGTGTCTCATCAAGGTCATCATCCTGCAAAACATGACACATGCCCAGGATCGCAGCAAAATTCAGCACACAGCTTACATCAAGCCTTCAGGCTCGCAAGGGGGGGACCTGTTTTCTGTTTAATGCAGGAGTAACACATACATTTTGGTGTAATGTGTGCAAATGACTGACCCCCCCCAGAGAACCTTTGCCAACTTTTAAGAAAACAGCAGCACAAGTAGGTGGTTTTAAGGAGTAAAAGTGGCAAGACTCCTGCGAGCTGCTACCCGCGTCTCCGTTTTGGGAATGAAACCTAGCATTCTTCTCTTAGAGGGAAGCGAGCAGCAGGGTGCCGCAGCCCCGTCCGCGGGCCGGCCCGCACGGAGGGAAGGAGCTGCCGGACTCCGTACCGCGCCGGTGCCCCGGGCCTGCTCGCCGTCCTCGGCCTTGCCGCCAGCGGCTGCGCGCGCCTCTCTCCTTCCTCCTCCTCCTGGCGGCCGCTGCCCCGGCAGGGATGGAGGCCATCGAGGATCTGGCGCTCAAACCCTGCACCTCCTCCATCTACCTGCGGCCTTACCGCCTCTGTTACAGACAGGTAAGTGGCTCCAGCAGCTCGCCCCTTGGCGCCCGCCCAGCCCAGCCCCTTCCCTCACGGCCGAGCCAGATCCTCCCGTCCCTTTCACTAGCCCCTTCGTTCTCCCGGGCGGAGGAGCCCCTGCTGACTCGTAGCCGCGCGGCGGGCCTGGAGGCCGAGGGAGATGGGCTGGCTGGCCCGCAGTCCCCTCTGCCGTCTTGTCATCTCCCCGCGCCTCCGCCATTTTGGGAGAGGGCGGCGGTGCTTCAGGCGCATGGCGCCCTACCGCCCCGCCCGGAACCGCTCTTCCGCCGGCTGCGCTCCCGCTACCCTCCCACAGCAGCCTTCCCTGGGCAGCGGGGCCGGCGGGGTGCTAGTCGCGCAGCGGTCGTAGCCGGGAAGGCCGTGGGGTCACTGCCGTGGGGTCTGCCACCCACTCCAGCGCCTCCACGGGCCTGCCATGACCCCCGGTGTCCGCAACCTCAGCGAGGTCCGAGACTGTCGTCTTAACCCCGTTATGGTTTTTCACCTTTGAGTGGACACCTCTTGATTTGGGCCTTGCTTTGGTGCTGGTAGTCTTCAGATCGAGCCCATTGCTGACTAGCCCTTAGCGCAGCAGGTTGCTACATTGAGAAATCATGCCTGGTCAGCATTTTTACGTCAGTCACCTTTCACAGGATCCCTGAGAACTGGCACCTCGGTCAGTGGCAGGCAAGGTGCGAAAGGGAAGTCGCTTCTTGCAATAAAGGATTCCTTGAACATTTTTTGTGTGAGAGAGGTCATGCGCGAAGCTGGTTGTTTCTGTAGCTGATGATGCAGCATTGGCCCGTCCAGGCTGAACTCTTACCCAGGGAGAGGCATGGAAGTGACAATGCAGCAGGATTTGGACAGCCCCTGGAAATGTACGCTGCAGACCGTATCTTCTCTTGCTTTGTGTTGCTCTTAAACACATCAGTTGAAAATGCAGAAAAGGGAATGCACATAGAGGAGCTGTGTTCCAAGTCCAGCAATGAGATAAGGAAAAGCAAGGGTTCAAGTAGCTTGCATCAAAACAGATAAATCCATCTTTTCACCTTTTTTAAAAATACATTTTGTATATAATTTTCCTAAAGAAAGCCTACTTCTCATCTTGGGATAAGTAAAACATTTGTGAACAGGTGAAGGCTTTCCATTGAATTCATGATTTATTTTTAGGGATCAGAAAACCTGAAGAACATTCTTTCATGTTCTGAATTTTTCTGGGTTAGTTACTTCTTAATTTTATTTTAATTTCTGAGTCATGCTCTATTTACATGAAAAGTGAGATTTAATTAAAATGTACAAAACAGTATTACAAAATTACATTTAATTGAATAAAAGTACCTTCAATGAGATGAGTATGGTGAAGAAGAAACGAGGATGTGTTTGGTTGCGTGCTATGATTTGACAGAGACCAGTATTGCCACCAAAAGATACAGACTTGTCTTTTCTGCACATCTTGCTACTTCTTCTCCTTGCACAAGTGTTTGTGCCGCAGCATGGAGCTAGATGAGGAATGTGGTCCAGGTAATAACTAATTGGCCAAAAAAAAGTTAGTTTTAACCTGAACAAAATCTTTTGATTTAATTCAAATGCTTATGCTGGCAAAGGGAAGGTGGTAATGTGGTGGTTAGGGATGAGTGTTTGGGGGGCTGGCTGAGGGCAGAGACTGTTTCTCTTGGCCACAACACTGCCTTAAAATGAACATGAAATTGTAGTTTATATGACATTTGTACAGGAGCTGGCTTTCGTCCAGCCTACCGGGAGCATAAACAACAAATGCACAACTTCCTGCACCTGACCTGGGAGACAAGTCCTGTGTTTATTAAAAACATATCTTGTATTTAAAAACTGACTTACTAACCAGAGGAAATAGTATTTTCAGCCATTTGACTAATTGTTTCAAAGGGATTTAGGCCTGCTGAAAACCCTATTAAATAACTAAACAGTTTAGGGTTTAAAATCTAAATGAACTAGGTGCATGATCTGCTTAAGAATTTCTAAAAATTCCACCACTCATCTAAGACTGAAAATTATTTACGAAATCTAGCCCTTGATCTTAATGGTTTTATGCTGAGTAGGTCTTCCCCCTGTCCAACTTTTTTATTCACTAGCTAAAAAAAAAACTTTTCTTCTTCTTGGTTCCTAATTGCTGCTGTATCTTAGAGTAATATTAGTTTCCCCCTTCCATGGATTCCCTGCACCTGCTTGCTGAGCTTAACCCAGATCTTATAAAAAAGTCTTTCTGAATAAGAGAATAATCTATATGAGGAAAACTTAAATACTGACATTTGTTGCACTATGAAAACTGAAACTAGTTTGGATGCAATATGTGCCATCATGATGTAAGCAGAAGGTTTGGGTGATCTTACAGGTACATTTTGTGAAGCTGTAACATGTCCACTATAGTTCATTATAGTCTGAAGAAGATTCACTGATGCGTATTCTTGTGTTCATATAACATTGATGAAGGATAATTTGGGCCTTGAAGATTAAGATTTTGCAATCTATTTTCAAACAGGTACATTTCTAAAATAGACATTGATACTTCAACACAAATTCTTTGCCCAAGAACATATATGAAATGGGAGTTATTTTATGACTTTGTGTTTTACAACTACTGCTTTTCTGTGCAAACAGGAAACTGAAAGGGTTTTTACATACATGTGATTTTAAGATTATTTCTGAGCATTAATGAACATTTATTTTACAGCATTGATTCCTAGACATTTCACCTAAATGAAATGCTACTTCTGTGGATGTAATTTGGATCCCATCACTGTAGCTGAAACAGTTCAGTCTGTATAAAGTGGAACATAAATTTAGATACAGGTGAATAATATCGCAGTTTACCCTGTTGGTGTGACTTCATCCATTCAACCTGCACCCGACTGAGTTCTAAACACTCTAGTTCTAGCAGGTTTACAGACCACCAGAAAACTGCAAGACATCAGAAGGGGGATCCATTTGGGAGCGGGAAGAGAGGGGATAAGTCTAAACAAACTGCTGTTTTAAGCCTACACAGGTTATGCACCTGAAGAAAATTGTGGTCCACCCTGATTAAGGGTGGAGCCAGAGACTCAGAAGGTCATCTGCCTGTTCTCAGAGGTGCTTAAGACATTCAAAATCACAGGCCCAAAGATTGGATTAGTGTTTTGACCAGCTCGGGTATCTGGATGTTCAGACACATACGGAAACAGAGTTGTGTGTACTTCCAGTGAACTAAAGTGGTTTCTATCATGTTAGAGAAAACTCCAGCAATGTCCTTCTAGGTTTGTGCTTGAGTCCTGAGTTCCCCTGTGTTGTAAGAGCTTGAGTCATCCTTTGGATTGAACCAGTTACATTGGTTACATATAGAAATACTCTTCCAAAAGACCACAAGGAAAACGTTTCTGGTTATTTTGCTGTCATAAGGGTTGTCTTAAGTTGTAGCAGTTCCCAATGGTACAGCAATTTATGCTGATGGTGGATCTGCTCTCTCAGTAGAGGGTTGTGAGATCTTTGATCGTCCTCTTCGTTTGCCCACTCATACTTTACGTGAAATTGATGAGTTCTCAATGTTTCCTATAGAGCATAAAAGTAGGTGTGTACCTTCTGAAGGAATTCTAGGTTTTGAACAATGCAGACTGAGGCGACATGTAGCTTGGTGTTAGGCATCCAAGCTGTGGCGAATAGCCTGGCTTACCAGACAAATCACTGTACCAATCACTTTTTAAAATTATTTGTTCCCTCTTTCTGTAGTGCAAAGGTAGAAATAAAAGTGCAGTAAAGGAGTCATGGAATTCAGCAAACTGTAGGAATATTTGGTTAGGGTTAGCGTGGAGGGGTAAGGTACAGTTTTAAACGGTGTTCTTCAAAATAAGTATCTTAACAGCTCCTCAAAATGGCCCTCACTTACTACTTAGGATTTTCAGCTATTGGCCCTTTCCTCCAGGTGGGGCCCTCAGTCAAGTAAGCCATGTTGTTTTAAGTGAGGTGAGAGATGGATGAAGTATCTCAGTTAGCCTGATGAATATCCTCTTCATTTTGTTGGTAGAAACCCTATTTACATATTTTTGTTCTGCTTGGTATTGAAAGAAGATAATTAATTTTTCTCACATATAGGATAGCATGTGGCTGGGTTTAATGTGTACTTGCCCCCTAAGTGCAAATTGATTTGTTATCTAAAGTGGGTTTGGTTTTTGGTGGTTTTTTGTTTGTGTTTTTTTTTAAACATATATCATGTCCTGAAGAATTGGCTTCTTTACCAGAAACTCCATGGTAAATCTCTTTTCACTTTTTCCTATTGAAGATTTTCTGCTTTTCATAAATAATGTATTCAAGAGACTGGAGGGATGGCTAATGAGAGATTAACTCAGTGCCCAGGGGCTAGGGCATTTCCCTGGGATGTGGTAGTCAGTCTGCAAGATCTTGCTTCAATTAATACTGCTTCCCACATCACAGCAGAGTGTGCTCACTGCTGGGAAACACATTGGTGTGTAAATCTTCAGCTCTTTTGTATGTGTTATCCAGGCACTGGCCTATATATTAGACAGACAAAAAAAAAAATCAAGTTTAATAATTCTGCTGAGTCTGTCACGAAGTAGACTCTGAGAAGTAACAGTTGAGAAGAGTTGTTAGGAGTTGGGGCAGCATTAAGTAGCCAAATGGGAACTTGTATTCAATGTAGTCTTCTTAATCAGCACCTAAGCAGGGATGTCAGTGGTTCTGTCTGTTGGATTTGGACCCTAACACAGGGCTTTAACAGAGAGAGCTCTGGTCAATCTTGTAATAATTTGAGAAGTTACTGCATGCAATTATTTGTCCCCATGGTAGCAGTTATTACCCTGTGAGAATCAGCAGAAAGTAGTTTTGCTCCAGCTTTTACTCTGCTGTTCCAGTTCAGACCTCCAGCAGCCCTTTAAGCTAAATTGCTGAGCTTTGCACAGAACTAAATGAATTGCATTTGCATATTCTTTTTGGTGACCTCTGTGCTGGGGACAGTATCCTTCAAGGGGAGGCAA